GTGTGTCATGCGGCACGTTTTTAAACCGGACACATAGCGATCCCTTGTATAACGCGTGAGCTTCTCGTACGACGACAGCGAGCGAGGGGTAAAATCGCGAGAAACGACGAGAATAATTTTGTTCAGTCATTTATAAGTCGTATAGAAGCGTTTCTTTCGTGCGCGGCGGGGACAAAGTTATCCTTGCATTAATCGCAGTTAATATCATCGGAACATATTGAGCCCCCTCTTTCTCTCTTTCAACAACAAAAAAAGAGAAACTCCACAGGCGAACGATATTGCAAACAAATTTCGTGGGACATGTAATGGGCAAACGCGCCATAAAAGACGAGAAGAAGAAAAAGAACAAGAAGAAGTGGACAAAAGAGAATGTTTTATACAATTAAAATGTATAACATTCGTTACTGGTAGAGATAAGGCGATGTGAATGAATTAAGCAATTTAAGCACAAATTAAAAGAATATACTTTGTCTACTATAACTAGATAATAAGATGTTTAATTTGTAAGCTGAGAAAGCTAATAAAGATTGTCTGTTTATTCTCTCTTTTGATATTGATAATAAATTCTTCTCTGACGATAACCTCTAACCGAATGTGATAATAGAAGAAATAGAATGTCACTTAAGTATACAGCATGACAAACATTATAAGCGTGGCCGAAAATATAAATATGAACTGCTGGAACTTCCAATCCGTCCCGAAATACGAAGACAATTTTTATATCTGAAAGGAAACGTGATAAAATGCAAATTATGTTTTGAAATGTTTAATATCGTTATACCTCAGTCAAATTCTCGTTACGAGCATCTACATGATCACCTAATGAACGAACATAAGGCTGATAGATTCGGGTCATAGAACGATACTCTTATAGGAACAGTGCAAGCAGCCAATTTCGACAAAAGAACAGTTGGATTTTTGTATGATATTTCGAATGTGACCAATAGATCGTGATAAAGTCTTCGTTTCATACCAAATGTACCCAAAGACAAAAGTTTTAGTCTTCTATATTTACGGTGCATGTAAAACAAAAGCACGTTATTATTAATAGAACATTATAGTGGACGGGCGTGCCCCACCACAGGATGTTGGATTGTTAATAACAATCGTCATGGTTTCAAAGATCATGTATTAAAAACATTCGATATTCGAGAGCAAGAATTGACCACCTCCATAAATAACAGCGATTTTAATGCAACAGAACGTGTAGATCAGAGTACAGATACTCAGACCAGTTCTACCTCGATTGACATTAATATTGTAATAATCTGTGACCAGAAAAATGGCACGCTATCCGACCCGAAAAGAAGATATACGGTAAGCGTATATGTCTTAATAGTTATACCAATTCTCGTCCCGACGGTAGGACTCTGAAAATAAAAAATGTTCCGTTAGTAATAGAGCAGCTAAATAGCCATTCTTGTAGGTTAACCGCGTTAGTGGACACCGGAAGTCCTATATCCTTCGTAAAACCTTCGGTTGTCGATAGTTATCTGGTAGAATTTAGACCCGAAAAATTGTCCGAATATCCAGGCCCTAATCATAAATGCATTTCTCCAACGAACAATGTATTAACTATTAATATATCTATCTTTCTGGGTACTCTAGATGCATATTAACTTTAAATATATTGTTGCACTTATAGGAAACGCGAAAGAATACAGAAAATTAAGAGCCAGTCGGTCAGATCTAAGGAACATTTTTATCAGAGCAAACTATGTCGTCCGTGACAATTGCGATGTAATTTTATTTGAACATATTAATTTAATTTCCCATAAAACCAACGCGCCGAAATCATTAATTTGACGATCAATGAAAATAGCGCGCGGCCAATTTCGACAAAAGAATAATTCATATTAATAAAATATTGATAATATTAATATTATTAATTTCAAGCAGGTCTATTCTTACAATTAGTTCCATGACGTTTTAAATGTTTTAGTACTCACTGTTTAAAAAATTAAGCATGCCAGTTGCCTCGCGTCTATCCCAAAAATGTACTAGAATATCAAACTAGATATTTTGCGAACGTTTATAAAATTGTAACGAGAACTCTTAGCTATTTAACTGTGAAATTCTTTTCTCATCGCTCGTTAATTGCAAGGTTTAAACTAATCTTTTAAACGAGTAAAACTGATTTAGACAAATATATAGAACTTTTATCGGACAAATTATATTATTAATATAATAAACACGTATCGGTGATTACTTTAATTAATGGAATCGTATTGACAAAATGTATCGTATAATCTGTTCGATTAATTAGACATTAGTTTTGAAACGAGGACGACTGCCGATTTTTGTCATTCAATCGAACGTATTCCTTTTTTATGTCGATCTCAGATCGTTCTAGCACTGACTATTTCTCATACGACAATGCGTTTTCGACGGATCCGGAGGCCGTCGGGTCTAGGTAGACAGTTGAAATTCAGGTTTTCGAGACCCTGCTCGCGGGCAGACGAGCTTGCCGCCGTTGTCGGTCCTCCGATCCCACTGCTTCTAAATACCAGCCGCTTGTACATTCCGGTACAGACCCACCCAAAAATTCTCAAATATGTCGCAAATACGCCACGCCGGATGGCAAGTCGGCCCGAATTTATCGGAACGGAAAAGTCGTTCGGCTCGTGAATTCATTTTCTAGGAAGCTCAGACACACAATTCACGTGTCGCATTATCAACCGGACGATTTCTGTTTTCCGTCGCAGTACAAATATGTAAGCTATATAGGATTTTAATAGAAAAAAGGGCGTAAAATAAACAATTTTGTAATTTAATAAATAAATGGCCCAAGCACACAAAACTTGAGAATACAATATATATATATTACAGTTCCACTAGAACACTGGCAGCCCCTCGCCAAAAATTCTATCTTCAAGTTCACAGGCAGTCACTTGCCTTTTCTCTCTTGTAACGCTAATAATTCCTCTACTATTCTCTATAACGGCTCGCAACGAACTCGTCGTCCTCTCCGCCTTTTCGCCTGTCATTACCTCACATTTCTTATTGTTTCTATATTTATATGCTATATTCTGCATAGTACGCTCAAATAACAAATGAAATGATGTGTGCGGAATGCGTGACATCAGAATACACATTTTGCGCTACTAATCGTCCACAAACGATGTGGAAACACTTGCACCTTACTTAAATGTAGAATGAGTAGTCTAGTGTTCTAGTGGAACTGTAATATATATTCTCTACTAATATGAAATTTCAAGAAGACGTGCAGTTCCTTTGCTTAATGTTTATAACAAGAGGAGCTGCATATGATAAAATTATAAAGAAAAGCAGTGGGACTACGAAAGGCTGTCTAAATATAATGAGAAATAAGTGTAATATAAACACCACCAGAAGAAGAGCCAGGCACTTCTCTTGACTCAAAGACAATCACTATATCCAGAATAGTTGCTACATTCCCCAACATAGTTGAGTTATTCAACAAAGGATTTGGTAGGAGCATATTTAATACTGATTCTTTGTTTCCTGGGTCTGTGCTAAAATACATATCTTCCCCTACCTCTTACGTATTTAGATAAGAATAATAAGAGTAACGGATATTGGCGTAAGTTTTGTATTAACGTATGCTCTATATATATATATATATATATATATATATATGTGTGTGTGTGTGTGTGTGTGTGTGTGTGTGTGTGTGTGTGTGTGTGTGTGTGTGTGTGTGTGTGTGTGTGTGTGTGTGTGTGTGTGTGTGTATGTGTGACATAGTGGTGGACTCGAACCTCTTTCTCGAACTTTGAGTTAAATTATAAAAAATGTCACTTTCTTAGACGAAAGATAGAATTTCTCGGATATATTATAACGGAAGACGGAATCACGTTAAGTCCCAGGCATAACCTCCACCTCCCCCTGAGGTAAAGTCTGTGAGAGACACGAGCCCAAGAAGACTGTTCCGACAAATCCAAAAATACCTATCGCCAGTTACAATCAGTCGAATTTCGGTTCCTTCAAAAATGTATATATCAAATAGCCGCACTGCAAAAACTTGGCGTGTTTAACGTGTGTTAAAAGTATGTGAAAATAACGCACAACACGCGTTTTACGTGTGTAGGGAGCGTCTGCTGCGTTGCTTAGGTGCTTTGGTGCGTTGTTTCAACACCGTAACGCGTAAATTCAATACGTTTTAGCTACGTTATGTTTGGAACATGCTTCCGACGTGTGTATCATAAATGACAGTCAAAATGGAACATACGTAAAGTGTGTTAAAACCATTGATAAAATGCCCAGTTACACACATCGTACCTCGCAACACACGATTATGGCTACACATTAAATAAGAGTAACACGCCAAAAAATAATACATTTTAAACGTGTTATCGGGTCAACGAAGCTGAGCGCTGTCGCTTGGTTACGGTTGTTAGATGACTGGAGTAGGGGGTAATAGGCGATGCCTCGCGAAAATCGCCCGAATTGACAGTTCGTGGACAGCTCTGTCATAAACTAACCGGTTTTCTTCCAAAATGGAGAAAAAAGTGTACTGCGTGTTTGGTGAAAGATGCAAATGTATACAATAAACTCATCATTCTACAGAAACCAGATCCCGATCGAAACAATCGTCTCTGTGACATCGACTTCGATGCAGAAATTGAAGATAAAGACGAGGTTACGCTTCTTTTTCTCGCGCAACAAATGTTGAGAATAAGACGTACAATGTACCTAATTAAGATCATGCATATTATATATTGTTATATAATAATACATGTTATATATTAAAGAGTAAAATATATACATGTTATATATTGGAAATTGGGGCTAATTTTTTTATTACATCGGCTCTTCATATTATCTGCGGTAAAGCATTTAGAAATAGTACGCGTAAGGTGTGTAGAAACAACACACCATAATGCCGGTGAAGTTGGCATATCATTTCCCAGCAGATCAAAAATAAAATGGAGTTCTTTTCAATCCAAATTTCATATATAATTCATTAAAATATGATTAATTAGTTCTTGAGTTATAGACATTTGTAATTTTTGGAAATCATTATTAAAGAAAATTTGCGATAGTTAGAGTGACCACAGACATTTCTAAAAAAAATTCAAAATTAAAAAACCTTTTACCGGTCATCGCCATATTCAAGAGGTATGCCTGCCCCCCAAATTTCATCTATTTTAAGAATTTTTTTGGTTTTTTGGTTTCAGATCAACTGACAAGGCTGAGGAACGCCCCGCGCACGCACACCTCTGCTGTATGCGGCTTCATTCATTGGGACCTGGAGCCACCATTAAAAAAAATTTTTTTTTTAATAATTCAGAAGTACTCTACATTTATGTGTGAATAAAAGCCGCAAAAAGTTTTTCCGAAATTCATTTATTCTCTATAAAAAAAAATTCCTGAAATTGAGGCATTTTTGGGGCCTGAGAATGAGAACCTGGCCTTAAATGTAAATGACGAGCCTCTGCCATCTGTTGAACGCTCGAGGTATTTAAATGATAAAATAAAAGGAGTACAATTGGAAAACGATGAAGATGCGACTAATGCTGAAACCGACGAAGAAAGAGAATTCGATGCAGGAAAAAACCCCGAAGAAAATGAAGTTATGAAAGTAGGCTGGAAATTGTGGAGTGATCAATTGTATAACGTAGCATTGGATATTGCTAATCAGTCGACTGAGGGCGACATGATTAATGCATGCTATAATGAAGACTTCGCGAAAAAACTGAAAAGGTAGGAGTTCCCCTAAAGGTGCAATTTCATGGACGCTAGAAACCAGCGGCAAATGAGTTCTAGTGACTTCTCGACGTAGGGGGGAAAAAGTTGAAACTGTCTCAACATTTTCAGTGTGCCGTGGTGTGACTGGGTGTCGCAAGGACTGCGTTCAGAAACACCACCCGAGTACGCCAGCGTATTATTCTATCCTTGTTGCTCACCGTATGTTAAACAAGGATAAAATGATACTCTGGGGTACTCGGGTGGTGTTTTTGAACGCAGCCAGCGGTGGTTTCACGACGCTCATATTTTGCAGCTACTTCTTCTTCCCTAGGCGAGCGGTAAATTTAGTCACGTGACTATATTTGACGCTAAATCGTAGCGTCAATGAAATGGGACCTTAACGCCGGACGGCACCTAGCGCCGGACATGCCCAATATCTATGCATGTACAAACGCGATCGTGGCGCTGCCATGGCGGAAAGGTAGAGGGAGGTGAGCGATAGTCGTGCACGCAGTAACACGCCTCAGCCTTGGGCGGTAAACAAGACAGAGCTGTCAATTGTTGCGTTCAGAAGGAAAAGAGTGTATTGAAAGATAGCGGCCGCCAGCTCCGACAGGGCGAGCCGGCCCTGGCCGAGCAGGCGGATGAGCGGCCCAACCGAAACGGCCAAAAACACGGGTACACGGGTTCACGTGGAAAACGCGTGAACACCGTCGAGAAGCTTCGACCGGCGGGTCGAAGCGCAATAAGCGAGCGAAACGCGACACTCGCCGTCGGGACGGAACGTGGCACGCGTCGCTACGCTCCGCGAGTGTTCTCAGTTAAAGTGTTACAGTTCTACCGAAAATTAAACGCCTTAGTTGATCTCTACTGAGTGATCTCTTTTCCCCTCTCATAATCCCGGCCCTCGGCAACGGCCACCTCGCCCGGCGAAATAGACGTAAGGTCGGCGGGAAACCTCCTTACAGTATCGCGTAAACTTGAGACGAGTATACTACGAAGTTCCTGTGACTAAATATTTATTCACGTTGTTATAAAGTGATTTGGTAAGTACTTTTTCAATTACGTCAGTGATTTTTGTATGAAGAGATAGAGTTTAATAAATATATATTTTTATTTTGACCATTAGCTGTCCCCTGGTACCGGACAGAACACTATCCCATAATGCCGGACAATGAAAACGTCAATGCTATGTGTCTATGTTTATTCTGAAGTATAATATTTTGTTTTCAGAGGACAGAAGAAACACCTTGGAGACATGGAAAATAAAAAGAAAAGAGCATGGGATCAGGATAACTTAAAAATTGCTCTTGATAAAGTTATATCGAAAAAAAATGAGCCTGAGAGAAGCTTCGAAAAAATATGATATTCCTAAAAGCACTTTACACGATAAAATTAGATGTCTAAAATCCGGCGAAGAAATATCATTGCAGATGAAAGAGATTTGACTGTATATATATATAATATAATCGGAGACTCGCTGGTGGAGAGTCTGGTAGGATGAGATTCGGGCACGGCAGTTAAACACAGTTCGACACGACTCGCACTTCACATAAGCTTTATTTAACACGACTGTATGCTGTTCGCATATACAACGCACTTTACAGTTATCTATTACACTTCGGTTATACGACGCGACTCGTCCTGGCACGGTCTTACGCCGGGCAGGTCTCGACAAAGAGTACGGCTTGCGATTCGCGCCGAAACCTGCCGGTCTTGCTGTCACGCCGATAGCGCGTGGTGACAGCGTGTAGCCCTGCGCGTATATCGTTCGCGCAGTCCGTCGTTGGTACTCAGGAGCATCTATAATTTTTAGTGCCCCTTTCACAGCCTAAGATTGGTAGGTTCACTAAAACATTCCCACCAGAATATGAAGAACAATTAGTGAACCATGTGAAAGACTTATCGAATCGATGTTTGCCACTGATGAAAAAAGAATTTCTAAAGTTGGCATATGACTTAGCAGTAGAGCTAACGATAGGTTCGTGCTTCAATATCTACAACGTATCGATGATAAAGCTTCCTCATCGTTTCAACACTGAAAAAGGAACAGCTGGTAAACATTTTTACTATGACTTTATGCCTAGACATTCCGATTTATCACTAAGAACACCTGAGTCTACGAGTGTGATGCGAGCTGTAGGTTTTAATAAGCCACAGGTAGATTTGTTCTTCTCAAATCTTGAAAAACTCATGAATCGGTATAATTTTCCTTCATCTAACATATTATATATAATTTCCCAAAAAATACTAAAGTTATCTCTGTTTCCCGATGCTGCAAAGAAGCGTTCAGAATCAAGGAAGAGAAAATCCGAAAAAAGTGCAATTCTCACTTCATCTCCTTATAAAACATTGGTTGAAGAGAAAGAGAATGAAAAGAAAGCAAAAGAATCGAAGAAAAACTTTAGACAGAAGTCTAAAAAAACTAATCGACCTGGCAAGATAAAGAAAAGCAAAGCACTGACACCGACAAATCGGAAAATCAAAATATTACCGATGTTCACGAATTCTCAAAAGTTGAATGTAATTCTGAAGCTACAGAACTGCAAGATACCGGAGAGGTAGACGATCCCCAGTACACAACCACTGCCACTGCCTAGAACTCTTCGGAAAATGAATAAATATATTCAGAGCTCTACGAGAAATATTTTAGAAGGACCGGAACTCCGACTTTCCGAGCAGCAGAGCACACTTATCTGCTTAAAAATGGATTTTTCGGGGATTATGAATTATTAAAAAGTAACAGAGACTTGCCACTGCCTAAAATTCTTTGGAAAATGAATAAATGTGTTCAGAACTACACGAGAAATAGTTTAGAACTCGTAGAACGTATCGAAAATCCGTCAGCGTCTTAGTGTTATGATAAATACATCTTTTTTTTCTATCGGCTGTTTTTTGTATAAAATCGCCAGAACTATTATTAAAAAGTATCAAGAACTACAGAACTCGACTGCATGCGATAAGAACTCCATTTTATTTTTGATCTGCTGGGAAATGATATGCCAACTTCACCGGCATCACACCATAGACGTATTGAATAACACACTTTAGGTGTATTCCGTACTTACACACGTTAAAACGTGTAAAATATGTCTACACACAGAGAGTAACACACGTAAAACCTATTAAAACAACACACTTGTTTTTGCAGTGTAGTTGTCGCGGTAATACAAACTCATATTCTACATTTTCTCTTGCAGTTAATTAATTAATTTCATTTTTACAGTAGTAAATATCAATACTTTGGCACAGCTGATGATTTTTTCATAGCCGCGAGCCCTCAAATACTTTGAGTTTCTAGTTGATTTAAATCTCAAAGATTTAAATATCAAATCGAACAATCCATTAGGTAAACGCGTAATAGCGTTCGGAGTGCTCAGTATATTTTGCATCTCTCTCTCTCTCTCTCTTGCGATTTTTCAAAAATAATAATTTTTCTTTCAATTATGTAGATGACGGTCTTGTAAAAACTCCGACTGAATTTCCTACACGTTTTTGCGCGGTTAAACGGCGAATGCAGCAGCGTCGTTTACCGTTCTCTCGTGCATCGCTTCTTTCAGCCAGGCAAGAGAGGAGAGAAGCAACAGGACGAGGATAGACGAGGTCTATTGGCAAAATATGCGGCGCATGGTAACTCCTACGTAACGGCGAAACACGCACATCGGCGACGGCGGATGGAGGAAGATGAAAAAGAGGGAGAAGAAACTTTCGGTGCACACCTATTTTTTACACACGGCCGGAGCAGCAACTTCCACGCTACTCCTCCGGCAGACTGTTCAGGTTCCACGAAAGGAACGGGAGAGAGAAGCCAGCACGCACGCATGCCGTACGGCGGTTTGATTCTCCTCTCCTCCTTCTTTTCCTTCTCGAACGAACGTTCGATCTCCACGTACGGAGCTACAAAGACCCGAAGTATGTAACTTTCGCGTCGCCTCGAATAAATAAGCGTGGGAAACGACCGGGACGCACTAATGCCACACTTTATTCCTGCAGCAACTATCCCCGTTTGTTTATCGCACAATGTGGAATTGACATTACCAAATATAAATAGTTAAAAAATGAAGATGGTGATTTACTCTATTCTTGTCAAATCCTTAAACAGATTGTTTAAAGTCTTTGCAAATTACTTAAGAGTAGACAATACTCAATATGGTTAATTATTGGGCGAGAATCATCAATGACGGATATCTTCGAGACTATTTTTCTACGAAAATGATCTGTTTAGTAGGTATTTTTGCAAGAGTTACTACTGCTGGATTTTATAAGAAAAGATTATTTAAATTTAGATCAATGTAATTCACCTGAATAAAAATTAATCTGTAAACAAAGGCAACAGATTTTTCAGAGATTTCGTTCTTGTAAAACGCGGTATTTATTGAAGCAGATATATTCACTACTCGCAGAAACAATTTTCAAAAATATTGCTGTCAAAGAGTGCAAATGAAACCATACTTAACAACAAACTAAGATGTCTAGCTAATTTGGGTTTCATCTTGGCGATGCGGCATCCTGGTGTCTGAACAATTCATGTGTTGAGCGAACGAGCAAAGATGATTATAGACCCTGAATAGCCCAGAAGTATCACGTGCAATCTTGGCATTGGAGAGGAATTCTCAACTTTTATAGAGTCTCCGGAAATTTTTGACTGTGTAGAAGCAATTGGAGGTAAAAATGACGATGAAGGCATATTCTCAACATTTATAGACCCTTCCGAAATGTTCTGATGTGCAGAAGCTCTCGTAGATGGTAATAAGGGTGAAGAAAGATCTTCCGCTTTTATAGATAATTCCGGAATGTTGTGACTTGTAGAAGCAATCGGAGATGAAACTGAGGATGAAGGTACGTTACCAAATTTAATTGATTCTTCTGGCCTAACTTGTTCTTCGTTACTGATTTTCTTTTCTGATGCTGAAGATTCGCTAGAGATTCCATCGCTCAAAAATAAAGTAATGCCATGTCTAGTTTTAAATCTCTTCAACCAGTCATTCCTACATGTGATATTGAGTCCCATGCGTGTTATAAGAGCCTCAACCTGCGATTTCAACTGTGATTGTTGTACATTAATACCACAGGATCTCTGTAGACTGTACCACTTATACAGAATTTTATCTATATTTTTGTTTGGTCCAATCTTGAAAGATTTTTTATTCCCTATTACAGAAGTATATAATTTAGAGCTATGAATATTGTGTGTTGAGATATACTGTTGCAATTTGATCTTTGATTTAAGGATTCCGCTGACGGTACTTCTCCCTACGTCATAAATTTTACAAACATCCTTAACCGAGGCGACTTGTTCCAATTTCTCTATTAGCTCCCATTTCTGCAACACATTCAAGTCCACGCGTTTCTTTCTCTTCACCTTCTTATTGTTTGGTGCCATTTTAAAAAAAGATAAGAAAAAGATAAGAAATCACAGAAACACTCGGTATGCTAGATGGTGAGTTTGAGGGAGACTGTTGGCATTGCCACCATTCCCCGTCACAATTACCAGAACGAAGTGTGACGAACTACGTTTTACTTTCTCGTGATTAGTTAAATCACATGAAAACTGTATCGAATTTTTATCGCGATTGATATTTTTTCTTTATTTTTCAGAGAATCGTGAAGATTTTTGGACCGAGTTTGCGTTTCTCACACCACAACTGCTCGTTTTATTTTAACTTTTAATTTTTATTCTTACTTTAAAAATGAATCAACTAATCTGACGACATTAGTCAGATATATTATGACATAGACATAGAAGATAGACCCAGCATGCCCATTCATCTCCTTAAGAAAAGTTGTCACGAACATAACAGACAGAGAGGCAAAATAGAGAGGGGAAAAGAGACAGGATATATTACACAGCATATGATACGAGTAGTTCTGCTGCAGTTTCTTTGCAAAGGTTCGCTTAATTGAATTTTTTCAAAGTGTGGTAAATTATTGTCCTGCGCGACAGCGATAATTTTGTTGAATCTCGCCTCTGTTAGTAGCGACTAAAGTAGTTGTCGGAAGGTGTAATTTGTACCGCAAAACATTTCATTTATTCATTTTCAGTTATTAATAAAAAAAGATTTATCAACCAACTGTAAAAAAGAAACATCACGTAACAGAAAATGATTGTTGTAAAAATCGTAAATTAATTTATAATCGCTTTAAATTAATAAAGTTTGAATAATTATTTCGAAATTTTTAAGAACCACATCAATTTTCAATAATTAGCAACAAGTAAATAAGTAAATTTCAAATTCCTAAGCAGTTAATTGTTTCTCCAAAGGAATTGGAGGAAAAGAAAACGTAGATTTTTTTCGAGACAAAATAACCGTACAGTTTTATTAATTTTACGTGGGACTTTAACTTTTCTTTGTCCTAATATTTCAATTATCCTATTCTTTTCCTTACGTTTTGTCTTAAGGTGCAATTTCATACGTCGCTAGTCACTAGCGATGGACGTGTCACGTGGTACTATCGTCATCGCTAGCGACGAAAAGACGAAGTTAAAATAATTTAACTTCGTCTTTTTGTCGCTAGCGACAAGAGGATATACGAGTATACATAAAATTTTAAAGAGTTTCTCGCAATGGCAACTAATCAGGTAGGTAATAAATAAATTTAATAAATAGCAAAGTTTAATTAATTTGGAGAATTAATGTAAAATACAATCGTTTGGATAATCTCTTCTGTGTTTAACCTCACTTTTTGTTACTTGTCAATTATCAACTGAAATGCAGAAAATACAAAAAATAGTAATTTTATTGATTAAATTGTTTTGAATGAAAATGTAATTTTTAATGCTTTTTAGACTATAGTAGTGCCAAAAGTTGTATTGTGCGGCTTATGCAAAAGCGAATGCAATTTTAATAAAATTGCTTCTCATTCTTGTATGGCTGGATACAAATTTCTTATGTGAAAAAGAGTCACCGTATGTTATTAATAACTTCTTAATTTTTACTTCTCAAAACCTAAATACTTTCACAAAATTCAAAATTTTCCAAAAATCGAATATAATAATTATCAATAACAGATTAAACTAAATTTTGAAATTCACCTTTCACTAAACACCTTTCAAGATATAAATATTTCACAACTTTGAGGTTACAAAATATCGCTTGAACTCTTTTCATAGATCAACAGAGTTACCAGCGACAAAAGTAATGACGGCCAATCATGTACCGAGAAATCCAGCGACGAGCGACGCGTGAAAAGGCACCTTTATGCTTTCTATCTTTATCGGTACGGGGGTATCTATATTTTTAAAATAGATTTTTCGTCCTCGCTAATTGGCAGTAAAATTATAAGAATGTTAATTTGCATAACATGCATTTTTGATTCAACAATGTGTATAAACAAAAGCAATCGATGGCTGCATAACATTTGAAAGAACTGGCTTTAATTGCAAGAAGAAAATTGCGAGTACCTACGACAGAATTTGGGCCGCACCTCATGATTGACACATCTATAATTACCGATAGCGGTTACCCAAGCAAAGGTAACATTATTGTCCACAAACTGGATTCACTTAAAAAAATAGTGACAGTCAGTGGAAAAATATATATGTTAATCGGTGTAGTCGATTATAGTGTACAAAAGAACCACTATGTCGCATATACATTAGCAGGACAATTTTGGTACAAATATGACGATTTAGTAAAAAAACGCGAGACAGTTAATTCAAAGACGATTATATGTCCCCAAAATACTTTGTAATTTGGCGAATTGAGCGGAGCTCGAACATTAAAGATGCAGACTAGCAATGGAAAAGATGCACTCCAGGGAGAGTTGGAACAACAACCAGTACCTAAAACTACAACAAGAGATGCACTTCCAAAGAAACCAGCGGTTAAGAAAAGGAATTTTCCTCGGACCAAGAAAATGCCTGGGCCTATCGCCCCACCGTTACCACCAGTATCGGAGACACAGTGGATGGAGCAGGGACAAAATATAAGTTAGACTTTCCCGTGTGGCCAAATGATGACGATTATATGTCCCCATTTAATTGTATACGCGATATGTGGTAAGATAGTACAATAATATTCTACGAACGTACGCGGTATTTAATAACGTCATGTAGGCGTGTAGTTTTAAAAAAACTATCGCTATTAAAATTGGACTTTATAAAAATAACGTATTCATCTTTTCGTTCAAAATGTAAGTAGATGACAAAGAACAAATCAAATTATTAAAATTATTAATTAATAGATAAATTATTTATGAAGTTGTAACTTCTTATTAAAAAGTAAACATTACTAGTTATTATTATATATTATTAATTATTATTATTTAAAAATGGCACATTATCGGGTGCGCATTAATATTATTAGAATTTAAGATGGCAATTCTTCTATCAGCTCTATGATCCCTTTAGATAAAAATTTTTATATATGAATATGTGTAATCAAATAATTTTTTCTAAATAAACTGTTTTCGCTAATAAAGAGACTTTAGAAAATCAATAAACAAAAAAGTATTATCGTATTTATTAAACGAAATAAACCTAACGAACAGTACTTAATCTCGCTAAAGATATAAAACAGTCGTTCTATTCTACGAAAACAGAAGATATGTATAATTTGTGCCCTGCGGCTCGTGAAACGAAACGTAATATTGCTTAATTCCTGGTGCGTTTAAAAACGCTTTTAGCGATTTTTACGAGCATTAGGGTGTTATTCGCCGATGACACAGTATAGCGGATCCCATATTACATAACTGTATTTTTCCCGTATATCATAATATAAATGTCTTCCATTAACAGAAAATACATAATGCCGCAAACATTTGAAAGGTAGAAAATGCTGTATTTTTCCACTTTCATAATTATAACGATTGCTCGTAGATTGTGAAATTCAAATCACACCCGATAGATGTACTATTACGTCAAATATGCAGATTATGTAAATTATGCAGATTAAGAAGCGCGGAACCAAGGACACGCCAGTGCAAAAAGCACATAGCTCTTAGCACACAGCGCTGTTGCAGTAATCTCAAATCTCTCTACGCCAAGTCCGATGAAAATATCGAAGAATTTTTCGAATATTGATATTATCAATCTCTGCAGAGTTCAAGTAAAATTGGTATCTGTATCAACTTCTTCTCGAAATTTTAATTGTTTAGCACGCACACCTTGCTCGGTTTGTACAATACGTAGTTCTTCCTTGTTCCTCCTTACGTTATAAATAAGTCGAGCACAGTTGTTCGATGCATCAACTAACGACGTCAATAACGTTGTTGTGACGTGCATTTGCGATAATTTGAATATTATCGTAAACATTATATTTAAAGATAAAGCAATATTTTTATCTTTAAATGGTAATATCGTACAGGCAAATCAGATAGATAAAAGTATCAAAGGACTCGAGAAATAACCTCCATCTCCTACTGAGATAAATCCTGTGTGAGACACGAGCCGAAGAAGGTACACCATCTCTCTCCTAAACCTTACATGAGCACCAATGCACCTGTTTCAAGTTACTTCCCTGAATCAGACCCCCTTGATCTTTTATTACCTCCTGGCGAACAGCAACAGTTTGATGATTTATTAAACACCCTGCACTTCCCTATCACTTTACGATTACTCTTCACACGTCTCTTTGCAAAATATTGTTGCGACCATACTGGGGTATCAGTGGTTCTTCGGAACCGGCTGAATCGGGCTGCATTCGAGAAGAAATCGCATAGCGCTCCCTTGACGACGAGAGTTTTTAGCAGTGGTGCTAGAAGTTTCCGAGTCCTGTACTCCTGTTAAGCCTTCGGGTCTCAAGTTTTACCGTTACGCTGTATTACTGACGAATAAACGATTATGGGATGTGAAGCTAAAGAAGAAATGGAAAAGCTAAAGGCAACGGTACAAGATAAGCTGGGCGACAATTATAAAGTAATGGAGTCACCAAAGATGAAGATAAAAATTATCTATATTCAAAAAGAAGAAATAAAGTTGAAAGACTTAGAACTAATAGGAACAATTAAAAAACAGATAAATAAAATCACTGCAGCTGACATGCTTTAGTGAAGAAAATAGTCAAGGAGAAAATGGAAAAATGAAAAGAAAAGGGAGAGGAAAGAAACGAGCAAAGAGAAAAGAAAGTACTATAATAATAGAAGTAGATATAATAAAAAACACACGAGATGATAAGAAGAAAAGATAAGCTGGCTGTGGAGTGGAAAAAATGTCACATCTTACAATGTTATTTATCATCGAACCAAGTCCAAATTATGTACGGGTGTGCTAGTGTGAGTGAGACATGAGTGTGGACAGTGTGCGAAACGCGAGCAACTCCTAGACGCAACAATATCGTAAGAGTCTATGAATAAGTTGTAAAAATACATTCTATTTGCGAATCATACGAAATAATAACAAATGGAGAAGAATCAATGTCGCAGACTGCTTGAAATTTACAAAATTCTTTTGCCGAAGACAGATAAAACTTTAAAAAAAACTAAACTCATATAACATAAAGAGACATATGCCAAAGTTGCAAAGATCCTTATATATGTCTAAGAGACTTTATTACTTCAGAACCATTAAGGGAAATCAATTATAAGAAATCTTAAATCAAATAATGGATAAGAAGGAGCAGTCATGCAAAGTCCATTATTATAGATAGGTTGAGTTCAGTCGAGTTGACAATAAAAGCCGGAAAAATTACAATTAGCCCATTGTTAGAGCAAATAGGTGTGAAAATTGAGACTAATTATCAACGCAAATCTGGTGACGCTAGTACTCTTTTTGGTAATACAGTAGTGTTGATAGCAATGATGGCTGCATGTTATGATTTTGATGACGTTGAGCTAGGTATGTAGGCAGAGAGAAACCTGAGAGCGGCCACGTCATAGGGTTTACTTGGGACCGATTTTCGCCATCAAAGGCTGCGTTCAGAAACACCACCCGGGTACCCCAGCGTATCATTCTATCCTTGTTGCTCATCGTATGTTAAACAAGGATAAAATATACGCTGGTGCGTTCGGGTGACGTTTCTGAACGCAGCCAAAAGTGGATGTAAGAACGGGGTGTTTACGTGTAGTAATCAGATTTGCAATCGGATTAATCGCAGTCTAGAAAACCGACTTGGAGAAAAGTTCCCTAGAATAATCGGATTTATAAACATGTCTATGGAACAATCAGATTATATCAGATTAATACGGGATTGTAGGAAAACGCGCAAAAATTTCTCGTCGCAGAATTTTGAGAAGTGAATAGTAAGGATTTTCTTTTAGTTTTTATGTGCTTGAGAAGTGGAGTATTTTGTGTAAGAATGACCCTTTAGATTATGTTAAGTTATAATTAAAATATTTAAATTGTGATGCAAGTAAACGTTGAATGAAATAAGTGGCGATAAGTTCAGTTTGGTGGGTAGTCTGATACTAGTCAATAAAGTCTCTACCTTTTCCATTCTTTTAATTGATTTCAATTAATTCTTCAATTGACGCTTATACGTATATAAAAACTGCCTTTTAGTTAGTCAATTCTGTTTACGCAGTTTACTCTCCACTTTGTTCTACCGTTGTTTCTAACTCGCAACTAAACAGGGTAGGTAAACACAAAACAACAGTTTAGTTTGGTGTCGTCGGTTGAGAAAGCGTGGTAAAGAATACGCGTGATGCGGAGAATTTGTGTTTTAAAATGAGAGTGCCAATATATTCTTATGGTATACTTGGTAACAGAGAAGCTGCTAATACAAATGTAATGAAAGTGTTTGACAAGAATTTGAAATATTTGCGTATGAAAGATGGCAGATATGGTAGAATAAATAAGACTGATGGTTATATCGTATACAAGCAAATCAGCCAAATAAAGTAAAAGTAGCAACGCACTCGAAATAACCGCCATCTTTCCCTAACCCAAACAACACGTGTATACCTACTTTCTATCTTTTAGACGTGCGTGCTGTATAGATAAGGTAAACCCCACGAACAATAATATAAATAATGTAAATTATACAAGAAAATAATCAAGATTATTTTCTCCAAAATACAATTAAACCAATTATGCCCACTTCTAATTTTCATATCATTATTTTATATCACATTACATATTCTTATAAATATTGTATTTAGAGATAAAGCAATTTTACAGATAATATCATTCAGGTAAATCAAATAAATAAACCACTAATGTTTTCCACAACTTATTGTTCGGCAAACTCACCTACAGGTCAGTCGTAATCTATCCGTCAGATACGAATGTGCTCTAACACGCGTCCTATCGTGGAAATGTCCGACGACTTATTAGTACTACACTTCAATCCGATAATTTGCGAAATCCACATGTAAGTTACTATATAATAAGTTTAAGTAGCACTAAGTAAGGCATGTAACAGTGAAACTAAAACATTCACCGTTTTATCTCTCAAGGTTCAAATACATGTAAGCACAAATCACTTGAGAAGGACCACAATCCGGATGGTCGAAACGTAGTGGATATAATTCAATAAAGTTTATGCCAGTTGGGTCGACTAAATCACTCATTACTGCAAATAAATAAAGTAAACGTAGCAATAAACTCAAAATAACCTCCTTGCCAATAATGAGTTTAGCGTTTCGAGTAATAAAAGACATAGATAGAACTCGTGCGGGGGTATAGGAAACTTGGGTCAGAACTACGGATTTCTAAAATTTTTACTTTTCGGGACGTGGAAATTTTCGACTCCTATATTAAAGTTGCTGCATCGGGATCTGTAAAGTTAACACGATATTCTTCGAATTTCAAAAAGATATTAACAGTTCTAATAGCACTTTCGATAGTTCCAGAGTTCCTAAAAAAATTAGAAAAAGTTCCGCAACCATTATAATAAAAAATCAAAATTGAAAAATGTGCAACTGTGATTCATGAATGCTTCAACAGGATTGGGGCTGCTGAAACAAGGATTCAGGGACTTCAACAGGAAAATTGAAAAAATGTACTTCGCTTTTTTTTGGATTTTCCCCGCTGCGGGAACGCCGTCAACCGGTAGGTTATTTAGCGATGTACTAACTTCGCGAAGCTAGCACGACACACTCTCCTCTAAAGTACAAAAACGCGTTGTATATTATCAATTTTGACAAGAGATCCCGATACTTCTAATCGAGATTCGTATATATATACAATTTCAGATAAATGTTCCACCAATTCCCATTTTTTAACGCACTTCTTAACATCAGACATCAGCAGTCTAACGATACTGCTCGACGGTTCTGCAGAGCTCTATGATTAGTATTAGTTTTACAAAGAGCTTGTGATTTCCTTTTTGGATCTCACTAGCATTAAGAGCGTGAGATTACGCTAGAAAATTACTGGAAAATGAAGCAGCTATTCACATACTAGTGAATAATGCAGGTGTGGCTACATATCAGGACGAGTGTTAAAAGACATCGATAGAACTCGTGCGGAGGCACAGAAAACTCGTATCAGCAATAAACTCGAAATAACCTCCACTTCTCCCTGAGGTAAATTTCTACTATGGTAGTTTAAACGTTGGTAAGACTTTTTCATTATATGCAAACATTAATACTTGTGTTTTGTGTCACTTGCTGAATAGCTTCTATAATCGGTATATTTATTTTATTTATTATTTACTGTTTTATAAAATATCTCTTTCTCTCTCTTTATTACAACTCATATAACATTAATGTACATGTTGAATAAACTGCTTTATATGATATATGTTATTAATATAAGTTTTAATAAAAAATTGATGTAAAATTTAATAATAAATTATTACACTGGTCCCTAGAAGCCCCCCCACGTTGCCTGGTATGCACGAGTCTTTCATGGTAGTCACGTGATCGCTATGCGCATGGCAGAAAGGCTCGCGCTACTGGCGCTACTGCGCGTGCGCCAGAAATCCTGCAATCTCATCACTGATCCCGAATCGGAACACTGTGAAATTTTGACCATGGGTCGTTGGATGTCGCATATTTTAAACTTCTTGGTGACAAATATTCAAAAAGTAGTTAGCAGATTACAATTCTATTTATGGTTTCGTATAACAACGTTTTTCGAGACAGCAACGACCACATGCATGGTGACGGTGACGGCAGAGCTAGGACGGAGGAGTCGTCATCGTCCGTATCGTCGTCGACGACATCAGAATATTGAGAATCCCGTAAAAGAAGGTACGTTGACACACGTAACTCGTCCTCCCCTGCTTTCTAAGGGCCAGTTTCACAAACGTCGGTTAACTGTTAACCAGAATTCAGTCAACTTCCTATCTTTTTTCTATTTTGTTATCTAAGAAGAGACAGAGAAACATTATATCCCAGCAAACCACAATATATCCCAGCCAGAAATGATTGGTCGAATCGACGTCGATGATACTGGTCGATCGACGGTCAAAATTTGTAGTCGATTCGATCTAAAAATGGGTTTAAATTTCGACTAGTCATCGACAAGTCGATTTGACGTCGATTTGATGTCGATTCGATATTATCGAGTTCTTTTTTTTACAGCAAGATGGTACCGTGCTGGGCGCGGGCGCAAGGAAGGGTGGAACAGCCGCCCCTACGCTATGAAATACGGAAACATTTACTTTTATTAAATATTAATTACTTTACTTATTATATAATGTCTACATTATCGTGTATATATCTTTTATTATATATATATACTTTACAAAATTATGTCTCTTACGTTATTCAAATGTCTCTCTCACGTTAAATGTCTCTCACATTTAAAAAAAAGAGATAGAAAAATTATAAATCTCTGAATCGTCTTTCAGTAGTGTTAACGTAACTAGTTGACATCGACTATCTTACCTATCTAACTCGAATCGAAGTTCTAGTATGTGTAATATTTGAAATAATGTAAATAAATTATGCAAAAGAGTCAACAAATGAGTGGGTTCAATTTGAACAACGTTCAAACTTTTGTTTAGAAATTCGCGTATAACATGTACTTATTCAGTTTAGCGTTTCGAGTGATAAAAAAAGACATTCATAGAACTCGTGCGGGGGCACAGAAAACTCGCGTTAGAATTGCGGATTTCGAAAATTTTCACGTTTCGTATACAAACTAAACTTAGACGCAGTTGTATTTGACAATAAAAAGAATCGTGTTCGAACTTTTGTTTAGAAATTCGGGCGTAACATGTATTTAGTTTAGCGTTTCGACTGATAAAAGACATTCATAGAACTCGTGCGGGGACACAGAAAACTCGTATCAGCAATAAACTCGAAATAACCTCCACCTCTCCCTGAGGTAAAACCTGATAAAAGACGTCGTCAGAATTAATGCCAGGGAACAGAAAACTCGCGTTAGAATTGCGGATTTCAAAAATTTTCACGTTTCGTATACAAACTAAACTTAAACGCAGTTGTATTTGACAATAATAAAAAGAATCGTGTTCGAACTTTTGTTTAGAAATTCGGGCATAACATGTATTTATAGCGTTTTCGATTTTCTGACTTCTGACAAGATTTGAACCAAATTTCTGCAAAAATCTTACTTTTGATCAAACTTTTCTGACTCGGAGTCGGGTCGAGTCAGCAAATCAAAAACGCTATTAGTTTAGCGTTTCGACTGATAAAAGACATTCATAGAACTCGTGCGGGGGCACAGAAAACTCGTATCAGCAATAAACTCGAAATAACCTCCACCTCCCCCTGAGGTAAATCCTGATAAAAGACATCGTCAGAATAAATGCGAGGGAATAGAAAACTCGCGTTAGAATTGCGGATTTCCAAAATTTTCACGTTTCGTATACAAACTAAACTTAAACGCAGTTGTATTTGACAATGACTACGTTTACACGGCGGCTTATAAGCCGATTTAATAACTACAGTATACTACCCGATCCAAATTTTTTTTCTTTTGATCATAACAATCACTTAAATATGAGCTTTTCTGATACTTAAGCTATAATTTCTAGTATATAC